TGGTGATGAACTCCTTTAGCTTTTTCTTATCTGTGAAGCTCTTTATCTGACCTTCAATTTTGAATGATAGCTTTGCTGGGTAGAGTAATCTTGGTTGAAGGTTCTTGCTATTCATCACTTTGAATATTTCTTGCCACTCCCGTCTGGCCTGCATAATTTCTGTTGAGAAATCAGCTGACAATCATATGGGTGCTCCCTTGTAAGTAACTAACTGTTTTTCTCTTGCTGCTTGTAAGATTCTCTCTTTGTCTTTTGCTCTTGGCATTTTAATTATGATGTGTCTTGGTGTGGTCCTCTTTGGATTCCTTTTGTTTGGGGTTCTGTGCACTTCCTAGTCTTGTAAGTCTATTTCTTTTACCAGGTGGGGGAAGTTTTCAGTCATTATTTCTTCAATAGGTTTTCAGTATCTTGCTCTTTCTCTTCTTCTGGCACCCCCATAATTTGGATGTTGGTGTGCTTGAAATTGTCCCAGAGGCTTCTTACACTATCTTCAAATTTTTGTATTCTTTTTTTTTAATATATATTTTTTTATTGATTTTTTACAGAGAGGAAGGGAGAGAGATAGAGAGCTAGAAACGTCGATGAGAGAGAAACATCAACCAGCTGCCTCTTGCACACCCCCTACCGAAGATGTGTCCGCAACCAATGTACATGCCCTTGACCAGAATCGAACCTGGGACCTTTCAGTCTGCAGACTGATGCTCTACCACTGAGCCAAACTGGCTTCGGCCTCTTTTTTCTTTTTTGTTTTATTGGTTGAGAGTTTATTGCTTCTTTGTATTACAAATCTTTGACTTGATTCTTGCATTCCTCTAGTCTGCTGTGAGGTCTCTGTATATTTTTTATTTCAATCAGTGCATGTTTAATTTCTAGTTGGTCCTTTTTCATATCCTTGAGGGTCTCACTAAATTTATCGGCTTTTTCTAGGAAATTTTTGAAAAACCTTATAACCGTGGTTTTGAACTCTATATCCAGTCGCTTGTTTTCCTCCATCTCTTTCATTTATGATCTGTTTATTTGTCTCCACATTTTTGCTGCTTCCCTGAGTTGCTAGGGTAGCTTTGTGTGCTAGGTGTCCTATATGGCCCAGTGGGTTGGCCTCCCAATTACGTGAGGTGGACACTCTTGGTGCGCCCCTTTGTGGACTGTGTGTATACCCTTTTGTTAATTAAGTCTTGATCGTTGTTGGTATCACTGGGAGGAATTGACCTCCAGGCCAATTGGCTGTGAAGATCAGCTGTGTCAATGTCAGGAGAACTTCTGTGCTGGCAGTCCTCTCTTATAGGCGCTCCTCCAGACCTCTGCCTTTCTTGGCTCCCCTGAGTTTGCACCTGACAGTCCAGAATCCCCCCCGTATAAGCCAAGGTCTCCAGGGTCTCACCTGGAACTGGAGTTCAGTGCAGTTAGAACTGGGGTTTAACGCAGTCAAGAGTTTTTGTCTCCTTCCCGCTAGAGAAAGCCAGTGGCACACAGCAGATAGTCTTCTCTGCACGCACTCGTGTGTGCGCCTGCAGACCTCTGCCTTTTGCGGCTCCCCTGAGTTTCCCCCTGACAGTCTGCAGTCGGAACTGGGGCTCAGCACAGTCAGAAGTTTTTGTCTCCTTCCCACTAGAGAAAGCCAGCCATACACTCAGCTGCCTGTGCATGTGTCTCTGTACCTCAGCCTTTTACCCCTCCTCCGATTCTTCGTCAGTAGCCTTGTTATTTAAATAATAAACAGGTTAATGAAACAGGACAGATGGACCAGAAACAGACCCATGTACTTGTGAAAATTTTGCATGCGACTAAGTTAGCATTCAAATCAGGAAAGAATGGCCAAATAAAAAAATTTTGAGACAATTAGCCACCCATTTTGAAAAAATAATGCTAGATGATTTCAACCTCACACCATTTTAAAAATAAATGACAGAAAAAGCAGCAGTGTAGGTTGATTTGTGTAACATAAATAAATAAATAAATGACAACTTTCAAGCAAACTATGAAGAGTTGTAGGAAAATCTACTTATATCCTTGAGCTAAAAAAATCATAAAGAAAAAAATTTAAAAACCTAAGGAAATAGCCACAAACTTGATAACATTAAAATTAACATATCATGTATGCCAAGACACCATAATCAAAGGAGAAACACTCGTTACATATACAGTAGGCAAATAATTATTACCCAGAATATATATATATATATATATATATATATATATATATGTATAAATCCTCATACAAAGTTGTAAAAAAATGTTTAAAACCCAGTAGAAGGATGGTCAAAAGGTATATACTAGTATTTCACACATAAACATACATAAAGATACTCAGCCCCACTGTAATTAGAAAAATTAAAATTAAAACACTTAAAGGATATTTTTTGACCACTAGATTAAACAATTTTGAAAAGTTTGTTAATATAAACTATTGGCCAGAGAGTAAAGAAATAGCTATAATTATATTTTTGATGGTACAGTTTGAAGAGAGGACATTTGGGTAATACTACTAAAATTTAAAAAGCATATACCCTTTGACACAACAATTCCATTTCTTGTCTATCTACTCTAGGAATTAATTCACTTGTATATACAAGGAGCTATATAGAAAGGTTTTCTTTTCTTTCTTTTTTAAAAATATATATATTTTATTGATTTTTCACAGAGAGGAAGAGAAAGGGATAGAGAGTTAGAAACATCAATGAGAGAGAATCATTGATCAGCTGCCTCTTGCACACCCCCTACTGGGGATGTGCCCGCAACCAAGGTACATGCCCTTGACTGGAATCAAACCTGGGACCTTTCAGTCCTCAGGCTGATGCTCTATCCACTGAGCCAAACCGGTCTCAGCATATAGAAAGGTTTTCTTTGCAGCAGTATTGGCAATAAGAAAACTTGACAACAACTTACATACTCACCCATGTGAACTATAAGCACTGGGAAGCAATAAAAAGGGTCAAGTGGCTCAGTGTGGATGGATGTGGAAATAGGTCCCATGCTCAGGGATGACACAACATGATGTTAAAAAGATAGCCATTTGTAAAGTGTGCAAAGAAAGAAAGCCCACAATACACATTTACTTCTGTATGTGCTTATATGTGTGTGTAGATGCTGAGATAAAGTTAGGGAGGATCAACGCCAAACTCCAGGCAGGGAGAGCCTGTGGTGGCCTGAGGGAGGCCTTCTACAATGAGAATGCACTGGTGTATTCAATAGTATGACTCACTAAATTGAATCAGGAAAATATGTAAACACTGAGGCTTCCACCCCAGAGATTTTTATTTGGATGGCTTTGGTAGGAATTGGTGTTTTTTGACTCTTCCTGGGTCATTCTGAGACCATTGGCTTGAAAATGGAATTATTGGTTATTGTAGACCCTATAGTATAGTCTTTAATTCAGCTTCTTATGTTTCCTATAACATGTGGTTCCTCATTGAAATGCTGGCATAGGGCTCGCTTTGACCACATACAAACTAAAACCGGGATGGTATAGAGAAGGTGAGCCTGGGCCTGAGCAAGGGTGACATGCAAATTCATGAAACATCCCATACCTTTGTCAACATGGAACATTTTCTGTTGTGTATTGAAACGTGGGGTTCAGGATACAGACTTTGTCTTGTCTGACGAAGATGAAGAAAAAAATCCATAGACTAATGGATTTCTTTAATAAAAAAGTAGAAGTTTATTGGAAGCATTTACAAACTCTATCTGAGCAGAGGTGTCCCAAAGGGGAACCCCTGGGGAGGGACCCCCAAATTGAAAAGTCTGTGCTCTCTCTCTCTTTAAAAAAAAAATAATCCCTCCTCCTGTCCCTTTGTCTCCAGTTTAAATATGTTGTGGTTCTTTGAACCTGACCCTTTATAGTTGGACCTTTCATTAATTTAGGGCCCCCATGCTTTCCTCATTGGTGATTTTGTTACACAGTATCAGCTTCAAAGGCCAAAGCCCAGTGGTGCCCCCTCTTCCTCTCCCCTTATCTTGTAACATTCCTCTATTCTCTGTGAAAATATGTTTCCTTCTTTCCATTATCCTGTGACTTTTCTATATTCTCAGTGAATATATGTCTTCCTTCCTCTTTATTCTGTGGCATTTTCCTGTCCTTTTTATACCAAAGGTAAGCATTTTGGCACCTCCATGCTGCTCAGGTCAGGGCTGCTTTTGATCTACCTTAAATTGCTTTAATCGCTCATCCTTCCCATCTGCATTCCTCCCCCATGGACCTTCTGTATTCCCTAATTCTGCCTTTTGTGTCCCTAGAACTCCTTTCAGTGTAATTTCCCACAATTTAAAAAGTAACAGTACTTACTTAAAACCATAGAGAAAGATTCTAATGAATTGGGTCCTTTGTTGCTAACTCATCAGTCTGTTTGCACGATCATTTGTTTTCCTTCTGTCTTGAGACAAAGCTCTAATTTTCCTCGCGTGTAGCATTGTTCGGTGCGGGGCCCACGTTAATGTAAGCATTCCCATCCCGTGACCCTCGGCCGCCAGGAGTCCGGGCAGTACCTCTTCCGAAGAGAATTCCTTGCGGACCTCAGGGAAGCATGCACTCACGCTCCAGCTGGGAGCCAGAGAGCAGGCAAAAGGGCGGAGGGCATGAGCGTGTCTGTAAAGTGAAGCACAAGGAGGTCCTTGTGAGCAGGAAGCAGCTCAGAAGATGCTGCAGGAATCGGGTCTTCATGGAGCCGTGCTGCCCGGGGCCTGGCATGTGACTTATAGGATAGGGTCTTCCACACCCCGATATCCAGCACCCATCTGCGCTCAAGCAGTCCCGATGAGAGGGCGCCAGGCTGTGCGTCTGTACAAAAGGGAAAGTGGACTAGTTCCTCACGTGTCACAAACACACGCAGGATTATGTCACCTTTAGCCTGGCCCAGGGCGGCGGTTTTGCTCATAGCCCAGAAATGTCTGCACATTTAAACCCAGGAAAAGCAAGCGCCTCACCTAGCGATGCCCCAACTCACCTTTAATCAAGCCTTCCTGTCTGCTGATTGTCCTGGTCTCTTTTGGTTTTCCCATCCCAGCTGGCAAGACAAGGCCTCAATGTTGTGCTGATCAGCCGGACGCTGGGAAAACTACAGGCTATTGCCGTGGAGATTGGTGAGTGGCCCAAGGAGTGAGGGAAGTGTCTGTGGAGCCCCGTGGCCAGGTCGGCTCTGATCCTGCCTGCAGAGGCTCCACCAGCATCCCTGTACCCGCTCCCTGGAGCCTGGGGCAGGCCCTTCTGCGGGAGCTCAGTTTACAAAGCTGTGCCCAGGCTGTTAGGGGAGGCTGTGCCCAGGCTGTTAGGGGGAGGCTGTGCCCAGGCTGTTAGGGGGAGGCTGTGCCCAGGCTGTTAGGGGGAGGCTGTTAGGGGGAGGCTGTGGGCAGGCTGTTAGGGGGAGGCTGTGCCCAGGCTGTTAGGGGGAGGCTGTGAGCAGGCTGTTAGGGGGAAGCTGTGAGCAGGCTGCTAAGGGGGCACTTTCGTTCACTACTGAGTCTCTGGTGGGCGAGGCAGGATCAGATGCAGCACAAGTAAGTCTTTTCTCTGGTCCTGAGTCCTCATCTCTAGAATCAGACCTCCCCATCCAGAGGCCCAGCTTCTGCCTCTCCCTCGGGGCTTCCCTTCCAGGTGTCAATGCCTTGCTCCTTGCAGGAAGGGGAGGGGACACTTCGTGGTGACAGTCAGAGTTAAATAAAGACTTGGTGCGGGGCTACACACCCTGGGAGGCCGCACTCACTACCCTGGCCCCTCTGAAGTGTCCTTAGTTAATAAGGAGCACAGCGTCCCTTTTTGGGATTTGCATTTTAATGATCAATTATTAATTTAGTAATTAATAAACATCTTAACTCAAAGGGTTAGGCCGTTAATGAGGAAGACTCGGGGAAACCATGGCGGCAGGCCGCCTGGGGGACAGTGTGTCCTGGGCGTCAGGGTGAGGAGGCGGACCGGGGCTCAGTGCCCTTGGCCGGTGCAGTCTGTGTCTGGATATCAGCGGTGACTCTGACCGGGACTCAGTGTTCTTTAGTGCTCCCCTCCCAGCGTTCAAGTGCGCTTTTTATCGGCCTCTTAAAAAGCAGGTGATGTCTTCCGTCTGTCTGAAAGCACCCCACCCCCAAACTATGCCTCACCCGCACTTGCCTCTGAAATCGGGGGTCTGGCTCCAGCGTGGAGCAGGGGCAGCTGGTGACATCTGTGCTGCTTGCACATCTGGCTGAGCTCCTCGTAGGCAGGTTCACAGCCGGAGGCCGGTTCCCGTGGGAGAGTGGAGGGGCCTGGCCCGGAGCAGTGTGGGTGCCTCCGGCAAAGCATTGGGGTCTCCACTGGTTTCTCCTCTGGAAAAAGCGGACAGTGCCTACTCGGCGCGGTCGGAGAGAGGACTAAAGTAGGGTATCTCGCAGGTAAATGCTTTAAGAATGCTGCCATGCTGGGCAGATGCAGAAGGCGGCCGTGTCTCTGCGGAGGGATCAGACGTGGCACCGGCCGTGCACACTTTGCTCTGCAGCCCTCAGCCCGGGGCTGGCATCAGAGCGTGCAATCAGCGGGCCTCCCAGACCACGGGCTCTCCAGGTCTCCGGGGTAGCCCGAGGTTTCCCGTTTCTAACCATCTGCCGGTGATGCCGATGCTGTGTTCCAGGGACCCCACTTTGAGAATCATTGCGTTAAATCTAATGCGTGCATTGTGACTGTGGTAGCTCTCAGACTCACACATCCGGCACACGCCAGCTTCACCAGGGCTGCTTCCTGTCTGTAAGGGGGTGAGGGGCGTGTGCCCAGGCTGGGTGGGAGCGCTGGGGGACTCCACAGGCCAGAGGGGCTTCGGGCTCCTGGTCATTGAAGAATAACATTGTCTCGAATGCAGAGCGCACTACAGGGAGGAGCGTGAAGGTTATCCAAGCAGATTTCACCAAGGACGACATCTACGAGGGTATTAAAGAAGAACTCAAAGGCTTAGAGATTGGGATTTTAGGTAAGTAAATTGCGATGCTCAATGCTTGTTGTAATACATCGGTGCAATGATTACCTTACTGACCCTTGATCATCCCACGGTAGCCTAAGCTTAACCCATGGCGGTGTTCTGAGCTGTAGCATTAAGGAACATCAAAGTTCAGTTCTTCAAGAGGCGTTACGTGATGAACAGATTTATACATAGCTTTGGAATGTGTCAGACCTTCTTGACCGTCTTTCCTGATGTTAGACAGGATGTGTTTTCTCTCACAGATACTGACACTCGGCAGGAAGAGGAAATCTCAGAGACACTCACCTAGAGGAACACATTTACCCCACAAACGTGGCTGTGGTTGACCCATGAAATGGCAGCGCAGTGTGCGTACTTGTGAATTGACTGCCTTATTCAGGACACAAGATGATGTCTTTTCTGTGATGGTTGTAAACACTCTGTTTCATCACTAGGTACACAGCACAGTGTCTGTACTGTGCATAGAAGGAAGGTTTGATTTCTAAACTTCTTGCTGAATTAAAAAAATAATTACTAATTTTTTTTTACTAATAAAAATAAAAAACATATCGATGCAGAGAAACTGGAAAGAGTAGAGAAGCACATAAAAGAATTAGAAATTTTAAAAAAATCCTGATGGTCCAGAGAACATTTTGGTGCATATCCTTCTAGATACATATTTTCCGATGTCTACACGGATCTTATATATTTACACATATTTATTTACATATTTTTTTAATCTAAATTTTGTTCTTTCCATCACCATCTATCCCATCTGTGTTCTGTGCATTTTTAAAAGCCGCTCATTACACACACTTCCCCTGCCTTAAAGCTGCTTGTGAGGGGCTGCTCTGCACCCCAGCTGGGGGCTCACCTCATTCACTGCATGTGCTTCCGATCCCGGGACCCCCGTCCCTTCCCTCCAACGTTTCCGGTGTGATCAAATCATGCTACAATGAACGACCTCGTGTATCAATCTTGCTACAATGAACGACCTCGTGTATCAATCTTGTTGAAGGTGTTTCCTTTTTTTTTTTTTTTTTTTTTTTTTTCCCCAAAGAGGAAAGAAGAGGGAGAGAGAGAGATAGAAACATTCATGATGAGAGAGAATTATTGATCGGCTGCCTCCTGTACGCCCCCTACTGGGGATGGAACCTGCAACCTGGGCAAGTGCCCTGTCCGGGAATCGATCCATGACCTCCGGGTTCATAGGTCGGCGCTCAATCACTGAGTCACGCCAGCCAGGCATGAAAGTATTTTCTTAAAAACTCTTTCCAAGAGAAGAGTTTCTGGCTTGAATATAACTGTTTCTAAGGTTTTCAATAAACATTTGCCACTGGCTCTTCTGACATCTTTTTGTTTTGTCTCCCCCGGCAGTCAACAATGTTGGAATGATCCCCAGCCTTCTCCCGAGCCATTTCCTTAACACACCAGACGACATCCAGGTATATCTGTGCTTTCTGGGCAGTGTCCTCTCAGCAGGGCCCGGGGAGGGTGTCTGGACAGAATTCTGTACCCTAGAGGGTGTCTGGAGGTTTTTCTTTCTTCTCATCTTAGTACTTGGTCCACAGCAAGGCATCATTGTACACGGCCATTTCTAAGATAAGGTCACCTCTCCCCTCCTCCGCACATCAACACCTGCCTGCTGCTGCTCTAATCTTTGGGGGGCTCTGCTCTGTGCTGTATTAGGGATACCCCTGCCTGAAAAATTTATGGCTGTGATTGCAAGGGGTAGAAGCTCTTTGGTTTTGTCTTTCAGCTAATAAAATTTGTTCAGCTTACAGCGTGAGGGAAGTGAGTGATACAAACTCTGCGATGAGGTATTGATTCAGCAAGCTTGGCTCAGGCCCATGGCCGCCATTGCCGGCCAAGCGTGAATTTGTTGTGCATTGAGCCGCCCTGGAAAGTACTCCTTGTCACGTCTTCCCAGGCTCTGACCTGTGAGGTCACGGGGTTATATCTCTTCTGAACAGGCCATCGTGCTCCCAGTCCCCCCGTGTGCAGGTGTTCCCACGGTCCCATGTGAGCCCCAGTCTACTGCCCAGGGCAGAGTGCCCACTGCTTGGACGGAGCTGCATATTCTTGCCATGCCCCTGCCTCTCATTCAAGCAGATGCCATTCTTTTTTTTTTTCTTTTTCTTTTTTAAAATAAATCTTTATTGTTCAGATTATTATAAATGTGTTCCTCTTTCCCCACCCCCCTCCATTGCTCCCCTCCACCAAGTTCCCACCCCACCCTCTGCCCTTTCCCCACCTCCCATTGTCCTCATCCATAGGTGCACAGTTTATGTTCAGTCTCTTCCCACTCCCCCCATTCCACTTTTCCCCAAGAATCATCAGTCCACTCCCATTCCGTACCTCTGATTCTATTATATTCACCAGTTAACATTGTTCATCAGATTTTTTTAATTCCCTTGGTTTTTAGTTTCACTTGTTGATAGTTACATATTTGTTGTTCATAATTTTTATCGTTATCTTCTTTCTCTTCCTAAAGAACCCCCTTCAGCAATTCATATAATTCTGGTTTGGAGGTGATGAACTCCTTTAGCTTTTTTTTTATTTATGAAACTCTTTATCTGGCTTTCGATTCTGAGTGATAGCTTTGCTGGGTAGAGTATTTTTGGCTGTAGGTTCTTGCTTTTCATCACTTTGAATATTTCTTGCCATTCCTGTCTGGCCTGCATGGTTTCTGTTGAAAAATCAGCTGACAATCATATGGGTGCTCCTTTATAGGTAACTACCTGCTTTTCTTTTGCTGCTTTTAATATTCTCTCTTTATCTTTTGCTCTTGGAATTTTAATTATGATGTGTCTTGGTGTGGTCCTCTTTGGATTCCTTTTGTTTGGGGTTCTATGCGCTTCCTGGACTTGTAAGTCTATTTCTTTCCCCAGGTGGGGGAAGTTTTCTTTCACTATTTTTTCCAATATGTTTTTGGTATCTTGCTCTCTCTCTTCTTCTGGGACCCCCATAATTCTGATGTTGGTGCACTTGAAATTGTCCCAGAGTTTTCTTACACTATCTTCAACTTTCTGGATTCTCTTATCTTCTTGCTTTTGCTGAAGGAGTGTCCTCTGGCTCTTTGTGTTCTAAATCTTTGTCTTGATTCTTGTGATCTTTCAGGATGTTTTTAGGACTCTGTATAATGTTTTTTTTATTTCAGACAATGTATTTTTTATTTCTAGTTGATCCCTTTTTATTTCTAGTTGATCCCTTTTCATATTCTCATAGGTCTCATTTATTTTATTGGCCTTTTTTAGGAAATTCTTGAAAAACCTTATAACTGTAATTTTGAACTCAATGTCCATTCTTTTCTTTTCCTCCATCTCCTTCCTTTGTGTCCTGCCTCTTCTCTGCATTTTCGTTGTTTCCCTGATTTGATGGAATAGTTTTATGTGCTAGGTGTTCTGGTAGAGCCCAGTAGCACAGCCTTTCCAGTTACCTGTGGTGGACAGTCTTAGTGTAGCCCTTTGTGGGCTGTGTGTGCAGTCTTGTTGTTAAGCCTTGCTTATTGTTGGTATCACTGGGAAACATTGATTTCCAAGCTAATTCGCTGTGAGGATCAGCAGTGTCTCAGCTAGGAGGGCTTCTGTACTTCGCTTGGATGGGGCAGAGTCTCAGGGTGGCGTAGACAAGCTTTGGTTCCCTGTCAGTCTCGCCTTAGGAAAGTCCTGTTCGTGGTGAGTCTCGCAAGATTGGTTGCAGGCGTGCACACCTCTTTGGTAAAGGCACAGACAAGCTTTGGATTCTGGTCAGTCCCTGCTTAGAGAAAGCCAGCCTCTGGGAGAGCTTCTGTGCTCAGCTTGGATGGGGTGGAGTCTCAGGGTGGTGCAGACAAGCTTTGGTTTCCTGTAGGCCCCTCCCCAAGTCCCGCAGTAATGGCCACTGGCTTCACACACCTCTGAGAGATCTCTGCCCGTTGCCTGACAGTCTGGCCTCTCCATGACTGGGGCCGTCTATCAGAGCAATAGAGTGATTCTGTTTTCCTTTGGAACAAGAAAGCCAGCCGCACATTAGCTGTCCGCCCTCTTTGTGTGCCTGGAGTAAGCCAGTAGTGAACTCTGCCACCGCACAGTTCTCCGCACCTTCACAGTTTCTGAGGCTCAGTGCGCCTTCTCTTTCCTTCCCAGATGGCAGAGCCTCCTCTCAGCCAGCTGTCCAGTGCTTCAGGGCAATGCCTCCCCTGTTTTCCAATTCTAAATTTAAAATTGTTGTGGTAGGCTGCATTCAGGTGTCTACCCTATGCCACCATCTTGGTTTCTCTTGCAGATGCCATTCTTGCTTCTTCCTCTATTCATATCTGTGCTTTTGCCCATTTCTATGTCTCCCTCCCTTCCCTCTCTGTCTGTCTTGGGAGACTCTACTGATTCCTTTCTCTGGCCTCTGTAGCCCAGAGCCTCTGCCTTATCATACAGCCACTGACCTTTCTGTTCTCTCTGCTGCTGTCCTTTAGGCCCACGCACGCCACCCTCTTCCTCCAGCTGGAGATTAACCATCTCCCTTGGAAAAGCTGTGTCCACATTCCTCTTTACATTTTTCGAGCAAACTCTGTAACTTCTATTCAGGATCACACTGTCCAGAAGCACAGTGGGACATCAGGTGTTTCCCAGCCCTAGTGCATGCTGCTGAACATCCATTAGGAGCCGAATTTGCCGGAGTGAGTGAGGGAACAGCTCAGACACGTGCCCTCGCCCTCTTTATGTTTCTTTAGCACCGACTGCATGTCCAGAGAATGTCTCAGCTGATTTGTGGTTATGGTTATTTATTACAGAGCCTCGTCCATTGCAACATCACCTCGGTAGTGAAGGTATGTGATCAGTGTGTGTGCTGAGAGCATTAACATGGAGCAGCTGCCGACCTGTGGCAACTCGGGACCCTTGACCTTTTCCCTGTGGAAGGAGAGTCTCTGAGGTTGAACTGCACTTGACTGTGCAGCCGTGGAGTGGCCTTTTATTTTTATTTGTTTATTTATTTTTAAATTAAATTAAATTAAATTTTATTTTTTACAGAGAGGAAAGGAGAGGGTTAGAGAGTTAGAAACATCGATGAGAGAGAAACATCGACCAGCTGCCTCTTGCACACCTCCTACTGGGGATGTGCCCGCAACCCAGATACATGCCCTTGACTGGAATCGAACCCAGGACCTTTCAGTCTGCAGGCTGACGCTCTATCCATTGAGCCAAACCGGTTTTGGCAATGAAATGGCCTTTTAGCTTTCTCATTCTGTTTTCCTCAAGTGCAGTGAGGGATTCATTCTGCCTCATGTGTAAGGCCTGTTTCTGCCTTCCATTTTGCCACATGCCAGAACATATTAGACCTGGCGATTCTGAAGCTGATTCTGGATTCCAAGGTGACTTTAAAAAAAAAAAAAATTCAATCCCTTCCTCTGATTTTATTCTAGTAAATAGAGGGAAAGCCGCTCTATTTGTAAAAAAAAGGACACAGGGCATGGTTTTTATGGACTCTTGTTCCGTAAGTCCTTGCCGAGTGGGAATTCATGTATTTCTGACTCCAGCTCAGCCTCCCGTTGGTGGGCAGCGTGGGGCATGCTGTCTAACTCCTTGGAATCTCAGACTCCTCATCTGCCAGAAAAGTGTGGCACTGCATCGGGCCAGGTGCTGTTCAGACAAGCACCTGCAGGCACGACAGCCACGGAGCTGTCCTGACTGTGCCCTGGACAGAGCGGGGAGCAGGCGCCCTCTGGGCGGGCAGCCAGGGCAAAGGTGCTGCTTAGGAGCAGACCAGCCACTGCCTGGTGAGCAGATGGCACTTTTGTGTGAACGTTGTTTCCTTTCCTCTGAGTGACAGGAACCCTCTAAATGGCTTGTGAGTGAACCCTGGGCTCTGAGCCCCCACTAAACCCAGGCCCCTGGCTCAGGTCCCAGAATTCACAGCTGCTCCTGGCACCCTGTGGCCATTCCTCAGACCTGGCTTCCTGGGTCCGGATGCCAGTTGGGGAGCAGCAGGAGGCTCAATCTCATCTTGAAAATGTGGACTGGCCGTGGAGGACGGCCTTCCCAAAGGAGAATCAGATGCTCTCGACCTAAGGAGAGGAGATGGGTGCTGAGTAGAGAAAAAAAAAAAAGATGTTTTTCAGGTGGATAAGTTGGGCTGACAATAACTGTTTTTACCAGTGGTTTTTGTTTTTTTTTAATTTTATTGATTTTTTTACAGAGAGGAAGAGAGAGGGGAGAGGGACAGAGAGTTAGAAACATCAATGAGAGAGAATCATCGATCAGTTGCCTCTTGCACACCCCCTGCTGGGGATGTGCCCGCAACCAAGGTACATGCCCTTGACCGGAATCAAACCTGGGACTTTTCAGTCCGCAGGCTGATGCTCAATCCATTGAGCCAAACCAGTTTCGGCTTACCAGTGGTTTTTGTTTTTCTGTAGGCATAGTGGTATTTTACATAGTCTGCCCACTGTTGATTGGCACACATATTCTTTTAGGCTGAGCAATCAATAGCTTTTCAAACTCCCAGCTGTTATAATTGTAAGTTTTATATTTCTAACTGTTGTCGGTAGGCTCATCACTGAAATCTTTCACATTATTGTGAGTGGTTCTTGCCCTCTTGGCCCATGTGATCACAGAGCTTCCCAGATACATTTGATAACCCCGACTCCTTTAGCCGAGGAATGCTTTGATTTGCTAAAAAATTATTTTATATATTGTCAGACACTAACTTCTCTAAATAACAGAGAAAACACACACAGAAGGTTAGCTTGTAAGCATGCCACCCCAGTTGTCCATGCTGGTGGGAGGCAGGACAAGTATCTATGGAGCCATCTGGAAATAGTAGAGACCCCTGTCAAGGGCGGGGATGGGAGATGAGTTTTCGGGCAAAAGGAAGGCGAGATCAGAGACTAAATATTGGGAGCTTTGTGAGACAGACTCACAAACCTGATGTCCTCTCTCTAACTGGGATTCCTCCCCAGTGAGGCTAGAGCAGTGGTCGGCAAACTCATTAGTCAACAGAGCCAAATATCAACAGCACAACGACTGAAATTTCTTTTGAGAGCCGAAAACCGACTTCTGCGCATGGGCCACGAAGTTTCAATCGCACTGTACGTGCGCACCCGCACGTGGTATTTTGCGGAAGAGCCACACTCCAGGGGCCAGAGAGCCGCATGTGGCTCACAAGCCGCGGTTTGCCGACCACGGGCTGGAGAATTCATCTGGAGGCTTTGAGGACATGCTGGCGCATGCTCCTCAGTGAAGTTGAGAAAGCCAAGGATGGGTGACAACAATGCAGCCCGCATCTTTTCCTCGCCTCCCTTCAAGTCCAGGGTTCCAGGAGGCAGTCCTGTGGGTTCTGGGGACCACCCCCCACCACGCTCTGGGGGCCCTGCAGATGGGGGTGTGGCAGAGACAGAGCCCCCTGAGAGCTCTCCGGCTCCAGGCCACGTGCAGAGGCTGGCAGAGCTGGTCTCCTGGCCCCAGGCCTTTTGATTTCTCTGCCTCACCCACCCGTTTGGCTCCTCTCTGTCTCAAACCTGCTCCCCGGACAGGGCCCAGCCCACTCCGTTGTACTTTTGAGAACACGTTAGTCCACACAATTGCCTCCTCCTTAATTCTTAAAAAGTGTGCCTTGCAATTACGGTGTGAAAAGCTTTTTAATGAGATGTCTAAGCTCCAGAAGTTGCAGAAAAGACCTCTTTTGGGCAGAAGGTTGGGAGGGGAAGGGACTTCCCAACACAGTTATAATTCCGACAGACAGGCAGACAGACGGACAGACAGACATGTCTGTCTGGGGAGCTATCACAGACCGCTTGCAGGTTGCTTATGCGGCCGCTGTTGGATGGACAGGTGTCCTCCATCTCATTCCTGGTATCTGTGATGCTCATGGACTCCTGCGATGTCCTGACGGCCCCAGGTCCTCACTCATGCTGAGGTTTGTGACTTGCAGCCTCTGCTTGCCCGTCTCCTGGGGAGAGAGTATCCGGGAACCTCAGTGCTGACCCCCCTCCAGGGCAATTTCCATCATTTTTCACTGCCCTCATTTTGCAGAAAGGCTTGAGCTTCAGGAGGAGAAAGCAGAGGCCTCTGAGCAGTTGGCCACGTGTCTGGGTTGCGTCCTTGGTCTCCGGCCAGACCCGAGTCGCCAGAATGACCTCCGATGCGAGTGGCCACCTGAGAAGATTAGGCAGTTCCCCGGCTTCCTCCCACACCCGCTCCCCCAGGTTGCACCGCCCACTGATTGCTCTTTAGTTTCTTTGTCAAGGCTTAACTCTGACCTTCTCTTGTAGATGACCCAGCTCATTCTGAAACACATGGAGGCGAGGTAAGGCCTTCCTTTGGAACAGCGTGGAGCGCACGGCTCCCGGCCTGGCCGTTGGCGGGTGTGGAGGCCGGGGCTGGGGCGCCTCTGGCTGCTGCTTTAACTATGAAGAGAGGACGCGGGCATTACTGGGGAGATAACATTCTGCCCCGGGCACTTTGCAAACACACAAGGCCAAGTGTAACATATACTGGAGGGAGGTGGAGAACAGCGGATTCAGCACACATTGTACTAAACATTTAACTTCCGTTGAGCCTAAAAGAAACTTCAGAAGTTGGCCTGAGACCAGGACCACCTCTTCGTCATCAGAACGAGTACTCCAGTTCGGGGTGAAAATCCGCGCCCATCAGCGCCTCCCTGTATTCCAGGTCTTCGTCGCCCGGTCACACAGCTGGGCGGGGCTCATGCACAGCCGTTGGCCGAGGGCTTAGTCCTCCCTCGAGGAACGCCCTGGCACTCGAATGTGCAGTCTCGTGGTTTTTCTGAATTGAACCCACCTCGTTGGGGTGGGTTAAAGAGGATTACATTTCCGAAGGGTAATTAGGGAGCCCGAGCCCGGTGAGGGTGCCTGTGTGTGCAGATGGTCGGCCACCCAGTTCCACCCGAGACTGACGGCCTCTGCCTTGTGGGTCGTCTTCATGGGCAGATGGCCCTGAGCGCTGTGGCCGCCCTCCGGTCTGAGCTCAGCGGGCTCCTGCGTTTCTGGGGGGGGGGCTTGATGCCCACTGACTGTCCAGGGACCCCACTGCGGGGCCGCGGCCCGAGGGAAGCAGAGAGGAGTTTCCCGGCGCTCCCACGAGCCCCTGGGTTTTCTTCCCTCTCACGGAACCCTCAGGCAGCACAGCCCCTGAAACGTAGCTCCTTTGCCTTTTAGGAGGAAAGGGCTCGTCCTGAACATTTCTTCCGGGGTGGCCCTCTTCCCCTGGCCTCTCTACTCCATGTACTCGGCTTCCAAGGTGAGCGGTCGAGGGCGGTAGAGAGCCGGCGCTCCAGGCTCCAGGCTCCTCCTCCCTCCCCTGTCCTCCCGGTTGCCGTTTTCCTTTGGACCACCTGGCCAGCCCGCGGACAGATCGCAGGGAGGCCCTCTCCTGTGTGCAGGACAGAGCTAGTCAGCAGGGGTTGGGGTGCAAATTAGAGGAAGGCACAGCCTGAAGCAGCACGGGGGCTGGGGTGGGGGGTGGGGAGGGAGGAGAGGGAAGCAGGTGCAGCCCCGCCCCCAGCTCTCACTCACCTTCTTGCCCGGGAGCCCTGCTGTCCGCTGTGGTCTCCTCCCTGCCGGGCGTCCTCGTGCCTTCCTCTTAAGAACAAAGTCGGGGTGGGGGGGAGGAGGGGGTGCTCTGCACAAGGACAGCACCCCCTGTTGGGTCATTTATGTGTAGTGGCCCGAGGTACGCGTTTACCCCCCACCTGTAGGTTCCCGTTCACTGAGGGATCTCTTCTCAGACCAAGAAATGACGTCCTAACTGGCACCAGAGAGGCGGCCACGTTTTGAGAACACGTGGCGGGCTCCCGCGGGGCCCTCTGGTTCTGACGGAGAAAGCGAGCTCCGGGCCCTGATGTGTTTCTCCTTCTCGCTCCAGGCTTTTGTGTGCACCTTTTCCAAGGCCCTGCAGGAGGAGTACAAGGAGAAGGGGGTTATTATCCAGGTGAGGCCAGCAGTTCCCAGTCCGTGCGAAGGGGCTCCGGGAGCCGGTGGAGCGGGGCCCCTGCCGGCTGCAGGATTGGTGGTGATGTGCACCGGGAGGCGGGGCGGTGTGGTCTCTGGGTGACACTATGGGGTTCCTGCGATCCATGCGGTGGCCGGTGGCCGCTGTGCCACTGTAGTTGCGCCTGCTGCCACCCTCTGCGGTGCCCTGGGCTGGAGCAGGAAACGGGGCGGGTGAGTGAGTGCCCAGGAGCGCTGTCGCCCCTCTGGCTGCCTGAGGCTGCATCCCACCGGAGATTGGGGCCTGCTCGGCCAGCCTCCCTCTGCTGGCGGCACAGGAGGCTCATGTGGGAGGATGGTGGAGGGGAACGAGAGCACTGGGCACTGGCCATGTTGGAAGGGGTGGGCAGAGCCAGGTCTGCTGGCTGCTCCTCTGTGCTGGGCCCGGATCCTCACCCCTGGCTCTGCGTAGCGGGAAAGAGGGGCCCTGCCTCCCCTTTCACCCACAGCCACACACAGACTGGGCTGTCGCTGCCACCTGCAGGCTGAGCGATGTGACATCCTGTGGCAGCAGTGTGCATGTGGGTGGCTCGGCAACACGGAGTTCAGTGGTTTCAGGTTTCCAGGACCTGGGATAAAAGGTGTGTTTGCAGAGGTTTTGTTGACTGGGAGGAAGTTGTACGGCATACTATCAGAAGTGGAAAGGCTCACTCACCGTAACATCTTAAAAAAAATAATAAAAAAAAATTATATATATATATATATATATATATATATATATATATATATATATATATATATATATATTCTCAGAGAGAAAGGGAGAGGGAGAAGGAGCTAGAAACATCAACGATGAGAGAGAACCATTAATTGGCTGCCTCCTGCACTCCCCCTACTTGGGGATCGAGTCCACAATCCTGGCATATGCCCTTGACAGGAATCGAACCTAGGACCCTTGAGTCCATAGGCCACCTTGACAGGAATCGAACCTAGGACCCTTGAGTCCATAGGCCAATGCTCCATCCACTGAGCCGAACCAGCTCGGGGTCACTGTGACATCTTTGAAATTATGGGTGTGCACGTGGATTCTCAGTTAAAATGCTCGCGGGTGTGAGGCTGTCTCAGGTGGCTGCATTATAAATTAGCCGGCTATAGACAAAGCTTACTCAAAAGACAGATTTGAATTAATTGTGAGAACTTTGCAGTTAACATCGGCTTCCCGCCACTCAGTGACGGGAACAGCACACCATGCCGCTGACCACCGGCTCTTCGCTCTGCTGAACTGAAGGCTCGCCCAGCAGGGATTGTTCCTTCCTGTCCATCTTCCAGCTTCCAGCTGAAGACAGATTCCTTTTGCAAAAGGGCTACCCCATCTAAGCTACTCGCTGCAGTAAAAAAAATAACCCTTAACAGCCCACTGACTTCCAACCTCAGGATTCAATTCTCATTCATGATGGGCATTGCCTGGGAGCTGCCAGCGGATCAGCTCAGGGTAGTGAGGCAGGGACCGACCGGCGGGTGGAGCAGCTGCTCCTTGGGAATAGCTGGTTAATTTATAACGCGGCCACGGGTGAGCTGACATGCCAGGGAAACGTGGCAACGGTTCTAGACCGTCTTGCTTTGATAACGAAGGGCTCTGGATCAGAAAAGACGCCTGTCACTTCTGTTCATACTCATTGGCCAGATCTGGTCACATGGTCCCACCCAACCATGTGCAATTCTGTCTTGGGTCTGGAGGAGAAAAGGACTAAAAATATTTGGTGAACCACACTAATGTTTACCAGAGCTACTTGCTTACCAGTCGTATGACAGTCTTAGCATCATCATGATCTTGAGAATTGTGGTGAGAGAGGCTGGGGCTGCCAAGAGAGTGGGTCCCATGGGGCAGCAGGGTGGGGGGAGGTGGGGGAGGGCAGGGAGCCCCTTCCTGGATATAGGAGCCTCGAAGCTGCTCTCCTAGCCAGTGAGAGGAGGCGAGAAGGCTCTGTGACCTTTCAAAACCACTGGCCATTCCAAACACTTATGTAATTGGCGCTCAATAAAGATTTGTTAAGTTGGGCAATGAAGCAGGCACTATAGACTCCAGCTTGATTTTCAGATCCCAGCTCTGCCACTTGCCAGTGAGTGATCCTGGAAAACCTGCTGAGACTCTGAGAGCCTCAGTCTCCCCATCTGTAAAAAGGGCCTTACCATGCCTGCTCACTTCTCTGGGCTCTTTTAGAGATCTAAGCCACGAACAAGTATGCAAATCCCACCACCGTTTATGAAGCTCCCGTGCTCCACAATGAGGTGTTTTGTGAACCAAATCCCAGGGTAGGAATGAAAACACTCACTATTTCCCCATCTGGAAACGGGCTGGGAATGCCTGCTCCTGTATCTCTCCAAGAGCAACACGTGAGATCTTTGGAAGAAAGTGTTTTGCCAATTAACGGCGATAGCGTCCATTTCCACGGAGGCCCATTCGGTCGCGTTGACAGATTCACAACTCGATTCACTTACGAACAGTGTCCTGTCAAGGGTGAAGTGAAGAAAAGAGGACACGATGAAAACGGCAAACGCGATGAGAGAAAAGTAAAACCAAGGAAACAAGCACGGACCTTTTTTCTCTGAAGGTGCCAAGATCCCCGTGTCTGGGAGAAAGTACTAGTAAGCCTCCTGCCAGGTGTGGGGGCCGTGGTGGAAAGAGGGGGTCGTGAACGTGCAGTCCAGGGGCTTTAGCTGCCCCATCGTTGGCTGTGTGCATTAGAAACACACGTCTGAGAGAGGGTTGCCAGATAAAATACAGAGCACCCAATAAAATCTGAATTTCAGATAAATAAATAAAAATTTAAATGTAAGTATATCGCACCGAGTACTTGGGACTTAGTTATACTGAATTTTTAAAACATTTTAAAAGTATTACTGTCTTGACTCCATTGTATGCTTTTGCCTTCTTTGTTTGGCTATTCGAGGTCTTTTTTAAAAATTCCAGATGAATTTTTGAAGAGTTTGTTCTAGGCCTGTGAAATATGCCAATAGTATTTTAATGGGGAGTTAATGATATTTTAATGGGGATATTTTAATGGGAGTGCATTGAATCTCTAAATTGCTTTGGGTAGTATGGACATTTTAATGATGTTGATTCTACCAATCCATGAACATGGTATGTTCTTCTATTTGTTTATGTCTTCCTCTATCTCTCTTTTTAATGTCCTGTAGTTTTCTGAGTGCAGGTCTTTTACCTCCTTATTTAAATTTATTCCTAGGTATTTTAATTTTTTTGTTGCAGTGGTAAATGGGATTATTTTTATTTTTTTATTTTTTAGTTTCTCTTTCTGTGAGTTCATTATTGGTGTATAAAAAAGCCATAGATTTCTGGGTGTTAATTTTGTACATTGCCCAATTCATTGATTAAGTCTAATAGTTTTTTGATGGAGCCTTTGGGTTTTCTAGGTACAATACTATGCCATCTGTGAATAATGACAGTTTTACATCTTCTTTTCCAATTTGGATGCTTTTTCTTTTTTTTCTTTTTGTCTGATTACTATTTTTTGGCTAGCAGTTCCAGTACTATATCGAACAGGAGTGGTGAAAGTGGGCAACCCTGTCTTGTTCATGTTCTTAGGGGAAATGGTTTTAGTTTTTGCCCATTGAGTATGATGTTGGCTGTAGGTTTGTCATATAAGGCTTTTATTATGTTGAGATATGATCTCTCTATTCCCACTTTGCTGAGAGGTATTTTTTTTTAATCAAGAAAAGATGTTTAATATTGTCTAATTTTTTCTGTAATAATTGATATGATTATGTGATTTTTGTCTCTCAATTTGTTTATGTGATTTATCACATTTATTGATTTGCAGATATTGTACCTTCCTGGTATCCCCAGAATAAATCCCACTTGGTCATGGTGTATGAACTTTCTAATGTAATGCTGGACCTGATTTGCTAGAATTTTGTTGAGTATTTTAGCATCTATGTTCATGAGGGATATTGACCTGAGTTCTCTTTCTTTGTGGTGTCTTTATCTGGTTTTGAAACTAGGGTAATGCTGGTTTCATAGAAAGAGCTTAGAAGTGTGCCTTTCTCTTGAATTTTTTAGAATAGTATGAGGAGGATAGATTTTAGTTATTCTCTGAATGTTTGCTAGAACTCCCTTCTGAAGCTATTCAGACCAGGGTTTTATTTGCTGGAAGATTTTTTTTTTATTTTATTACTGTTTCAATTTCATTGATAGTTATCAGCCTATTAAGTTTTTTTAAATTCTTCCTGATTGAATTTTGAAAGCTAATATTTTTCTAAGAATGTGTCCATTTTGTCTGGGTTGTCCAGTTTTTTGGAGTAGAGTTGTTCATAGTATTTTAAAAAATATATATTTTATTGATTTTTCATAGAGAGGAAGAGAGAGGGATAGAGAGTTAGAAACATCGATGAGAGAGAATCATCGATCAGCTGCCTCTTGCATACCCCCTACTGGGGATGTGCCTTCAACCAAGGTACATGCCCTTGACTGGAATCAAACCTGGGACCTTTCAGTCTGCAGGCTGATGCTCTATCCACTGAGCCAAACCGGTTTCGGCATTTTTTTTTTAATTTTTTTACAACCCTTTGTATATCTGTGGGGTGTGTTGTTAGTTCACCTAGTTCATTTCTGATTTTGTTTATTTGGGTCCTCTCTCTTTGTTTCTTGGTGAGCCTGGCTAGAAGTTCATCGATTTTGTTTATCCTTTCAAAGAACCAGCTCTTAGTTTTATTGATTGTATTTTTTGTGTGTCTCTATGTTGTTTATTTCTGCTCTGATTTTTATTATTTCCTTCCCTCTGCTCACTCTGGGCTTTTCTTGTTGCTCTCTTTCTAATTCTTTAAGTTGTAAGGTTAGATAATTTATTACCATTTTTTTCTTGTTTTTTGAGGTAGGCCTGTAGAACTATGAACTTCCCTCTCAGGACTGCTTTCACTCTGTCCCATAGATTGTGGATTGTTGTATTTTCATTGTCATTTGCTATAAGGATGCTTTTTATTTCTTATTTGATATCTTTGGTAACCCAATCATTGTTTAATAACATGCTATTTAGCCTGCAAGTGCTTGCTTTTTTTCATTTTTTAATTGTAGTTTATTTCTAATTTTTGCCATTGTGATCTGACAGATGCTTGATATGATTTTTGTCTTCTTGAATTTGAAGAGACTTTGCCTGTGTCCCAATATGTGGTCTATCTTTGAAAATAACCTATGTGTACTTGAGAAGAATGTATGTTCTGTAGCTTTGTGGTGAAATGTTCTGAAGATGTCAATTAATTCCATCTGATCTAGTGAGTCATTTAGGATTGATATTTCTTTGCTGATTTTTTATTTGGAAGATTTATCCAGAGGCATTAATGGAGTATTAAAGTCCCCTATTATGACTGTACTGCTGTTGATCTCTCTCTTAATATCTTCCAGACTTTTTTTTTTTTTTTTTAATGTATTTGGGTGCTCCTATATTGGGTGTTATTTGTTTACCAGAGTTATATCCTCTTGTTGAATTACTCCCTTTAGTATTATGAAGTGGCCTTTCTTTTCTCTTGTTATGGCCTCCTCTTTGAGGCCTATTTTGTTAGATATAAGTATTGCTACCCACACTGTTTTTTCATCTCCATTCACCTGAAATTTTTTTTCCCATCTCTTCACCATCAGTCTGTGTGAGTCCTTTGTTCTGAGGTGGGTCCCTTATAGACAGCAGATATATGGATCATGTTTTCTTATCCATTCAGCTACCCTGTGACTTTAGTTTGGAGCATTTAATCCATTTATGTTTAAGGTTGTTATTGATAGGTACTTGTTTGTCACCATTTTTATTCTTTTTTAAAAATATATTTTATTGATTTTTTTACAGAGAGGAAGAGAGAGGGATAGAGAGTTAGAAACATCGGTGAGAGAGAATCATCCATCAGCTGCCTCTTGCACACCCCCTACTGTGGATGTGCCTGTAACCAAGGTACATACCCTTGACCAGAATCGAACCCGGGACTCTGCAGTCTGCAGGCCGACGCTCTATCCACTGAGCCAAACCAGTTTCGCCCCAGACACATTTTTATAAACTTTTTTTTTTTAATCCTCTCCCAAGGATATTTTCCCACTGATTTTAGAGAGAATGAAAGAGAGGGGGAGAGACAGAGAGAAACATCAATGAGAGAGACACACATCAATGGGTTGCCTCCTGCAGGTGCCCTGACCAGGGCCAGGGCTGGGAGGAGCCTGCAACTGAGGGCCGTGACCTTGACCAAAATCGAATCTGGGAGCCTGGGGTCCGAAGGCTGGCACTCTATCCACTGAGCCACACCGGCCAGGGCTTAAGAACTTTTACTGGAGTTTAATCACCAGTGGGAAGTGGAGGGAAGAAAGAAAGGGGGGGAGTAATGGGAACAAGGGGGAGCGAGGGAGGCTGGGAGGGAAGGTGGGAAAGGCTGAGGAGTAGGAGGCAGGGAGGCTAGAGGAGGCGGAGGATGAGGCTTTGGCATGAGGAGGGAGGAGGAGGAGGAGGATTGATGAGGAGACGCTGAGAGGCAGAGGAGCTGAGAAGTAGACGGATACATAGGATACTGGGCGGAACGAAGAAGAAGGAAGAAGAAGCCAAGAATACGAAGAACCGAAGACGATAAGACATATGGAATAAGAATATGAGACATCTCCTCTCCTCCTCCTTCTCCTCCTCCTTCTCCTCCTCCTTATCCTCCTCCTTCTCCTCCTTCTCCTTTTCCTTCTCCTTCTCCTCCTCCTTCTCCTCCTCCTTCTCCTCTCCTCCTCCTCTCTTCTCCTCCTCCTTCTCCTCCTCCTTCTCCTCCTCCTTCTCCTCCTCTTCTCCTCCTCCTTCTTCTCCTTCTTCTTCTTCTTCTTCTTCTTCTTCTCTTCTTCTTCTCTTCTCTTCTTCTTCTTCTTCTTCTATCCCTTTAGCATTTCTTGCATTGGTGGCTTGGTGGTAATAAACTTCCTCAGCTATTTTTTGTCTGTGAAGCTCCTTATTTCACCTTCAATTTTGAATAATAACCTTCCTGGGTAAAGTATTCTTGGATTCAGTCCCTTGCTTTGCATCACTTTGTATATTTTATTTAATTCCCTTCTGGCCTGATGTGTTTCTGTTGAGAAATCAGTTGATAGTCTAATGCACATGTGTCAAACACAAGGCCCGCGGGCCAAATCCGTCCCACCAGGCCTTGCAATGTGGCCCGCACCGCGCTGTCATCACTGCACTTTGCTGCGTTTCCATCACAATGACAGTTTATGACTGTTCAGTAAACCATTCGGCCTGCGATTTAGGCTGGATTTTAGATTTTGGCCCCTTCTCTGATTGAGTTCGACACCCCTAGTCTAATGGGAGATCCCTTATAGGTAACTTTCTGTCTCTCTCTGGCAGCCTTTAACATTCTTAGTTTGTTGTTGGTGTTTGCAAATTTAATTATGATGTGTCTTGGTGTCCATCTTTTTGGGTTCCTCTTGATTGGGACTCTGTGTGCTTTTTGGACTTGTGTGAGTTTGGGAAGTTTTCTGTCATTATTTCTTCAAACAGGTCTCCTATTCCTTGTTTCTCTTCCTCACCTTCTGATACCCCTGTTATGCATATGTTGTTTTGTTTCATGTTGTCCCAAAGCTCTTCTCCTGCTTTTTAAGTTGCCGCCCCCCCCCCCCCCCCCCCCAGTTGCTGCTCTTTTTGGGTGTTTCTTTGTACCTTGTATTCTAGCTTGCTGATTCAGTCCTCAGTTTCGTCTAGTCTACTGTTGATGCTTTCTATTGTGTTCTTTATCACAGCTATGTCATTATTCATTTCTTCTAGGTTCTTCTTCATTTCCTCTGGGTTCTTAAACATGTTGTTGAATTTGTCTTCCATCTTTTTCAGTGTCCTTATGAACATTGCTCTGAATTCTTTCTCTGACAAATTGCTTGCCTTCATTTTGTTTACTTCCTTTTCTTGTGAGTCCTCCTTTTCTTTCATATGGGGTCTGTTTCTTTGTCTCTCCATTTTTGATCCTCTTAGAGTGTCTGGTTATGTGGTTCACTCTCTACCATGTTGACTGAAAGGCACAAAATAGAACTCAATAAGACACGACACAGAGGGGACAAAACATGAATGTATTCATGGCACTGATAACCCCAGTAAAAGTGACCACCAGAGAAAAGAGAATTAGGGGAGAGAAAAAAGTGCAAAAATTATATTGAGAAGAAGAAAGAGGCAAGAGAGAAAATAAAAAAAAGAAAAAAGAAGGGGGAAAATATACAAATATGGGGAGAAAACTCCACAAAAACAAACAAATAAACCAAAAAATTCAAACCAATAACACCCAGAAAAAAACAGGGGAACTGAATCCAAAGAGGCAGAGCTTATATCCAGAAGGTAAGGTAAAGGAATTGAATGAATGGGGGAATGGCTACAGTTCAATATAGAGGAGGTAAAAAGAGAATGAGTGGATAAGAAGAAAAGTAAAAAACAAAATAATAAAAAATTATTCCTTTTCTTTAATCTCTCTGCATATTCAGCTATTTAGGCTTGAGTTTGGTGAATTAAACTAATTAAGCGATTAGGAGAAGAAGAGAGCAATCGAGGAAAAACAAATGCATAAAAAATTGGCCAGTGAAGAAAGAGAAAAGAGAAGTGCACATAGACTTGGAGAAGGGGAGAGGAAATTGGATATATGAGTAAGCCAGCAGAGACTAGTATAATAGTAACATGCCAATAAAGCAGATAAGGAAGATCAATTTTTAATAAGGAGTAAAAAGAAAGGAGAGAGAAAAACTTGCTCCAGATGTCCTCTGTCCTTTCCAGCCACGGATTGTCTCACCAGCTGTGCTCAATTCACCAACTCCGGGTGGATGTTACTCGATTTAGTTGTTTCTTCTATATGCTCCAGGAGAAGGCGCAGGACCTGTCTGCCTATTCGACCGCCATTTGGTCTCCCCCTGTTCTACTGAATTTTGTTGTTGCTGCTGTTTTCCTGGATTTGTTTGAACTGAGTGTCCTACACTTTTACTCCAAAGCCTGGCAACCATGCTTGGAGAGCTGGCTCATGCCTCAGCCGTGTGCACACGGGCACAGTGGTGTGTGGCTGAGTCTCCCTTGGTGTTAGTGCCAAAGGCAAACCAGGGGCTGGTCGCCAGCTCTGTGCCACTTCTGTGTCTTTGCAGCTCCCCCTTCCTGTGTCTTCTGACAGGACGGCCGGAGTTGGGAAAGGAAGGGATGGGGAGGTGGGGGTTGGCTTCCCAGGGATGGGCAGATTACTGCTGTGTTATGGCTTTCTTTCCCATTGTAGGTGCTGACCCCCTATGCTGTTTCAACCCCAATGACAAAGAACCTCAACACCAGCCTGATAACCAAGACTGCTGATGAGTTTGTTAAAGAATCACTCAATTATGTCACATTTGGCAATGAAACCTGCGGCTGCCTCACCCATGAAATCCTGGTAATTGATAACTTCTCCCTCTCGAAACGTGTGCAGGAGGCCCTTGCAGGCTGAGCCAGCTCTTCGGAGGCATTGGAGGCCCATGCTCAGCCCCCAGGCCCGCTCCCCCAAAGCCAGGAAGTCTCACCCCTGGATGCCTCACTTCTCCCTCAGAAAGGAAGGAGGCTCCAGAGCTCCCCCCATTGACCTCTCCCTGGCTGCTCCCACCCCCAGCACATGCCCTCACCCTCCTATCTGTGTCCATTGGTTGTGCTTATCTACAAGCATACAAGTCCTTTGGTTGATCTCTTCCCCCTCCCCCTTCTCTCTGAGGTTTGACGGTCTGTTCAATGCTTCTATGTCTCTGGATCTAGTTCTGTTCATCAGTTTATGTTGTTCATTATATTCTACAAATGAGTGCGACCTCATGATATTTATCTTTCTCCAACTGGCTAATTTTTTTTTGCTTAGCACAGTGGTCGGCAAACTGCGGCCCGTAAGCCACATGTGGCTCTTTGGCCCCTTGAGTTTTTAGCAAAGGCCAGTCTAAAAGTACTCCAATTAAGCTAATAACAATGTACTTACCTATATAGTTTAAGTTAAAAAAACTTGGCTATCAAAAGACAACATTTCATTCGTTGTACTGTTGATATTTGGCTCTGTTGACTAATGAGTTTGCTGACCACTGGCTTAGCATAATGCTCTCCAGGTCCATCCATGTTGTTATGAGTGTTAAGAGTTCTTTTTTTTTTATTTTTATAGCAGCATAGTATTTCATGTATCTTAGTTTTTAACAAAAAAGTTTAAAAAGGGAAAAAATTAAATTTAAAAACAGGAAAAAAAAACTTATAGAATAAGGATATAAAGAAAAATTAATTTTGTACAGTTATAAAATGTGTTTGTGTTTGGAGCTAAGTGTTATTGCAGAAGAATTGAAAGCTAAAGATACTAAAAATTTTATAAAATAGAAAAGTTAAAGCAAGCTAAGCTTAATTCATTATTGAAGAATTAAATCCTTAAAAATAGATTTAGTGTATCTTAACTATATAGTGATGAAAAGTTTCCACAGCAAACAGTAATGTAGTGGGCCTTCTAATTCACTCACCACTCACTCACCGACTCACCCAGAGCAGCTGTAGTTTTATGAGTGCCACTCATGCTAAGTGTCCTATACAGATGTACATTTTTTATCTTTTCTACCATATTGTAACCATATTTAAAAATGTTAAGTATACTTTTTCCATGTTTAGATACACAAATACTTATCATTGTGTTATAACCACCTATGGCATTCAGTACAGTAATGTGCTGTATAGGCTGTTGCCTATAAGCAATAGTCTACACCACACAGCCGAGGCATGCAAGAGGAGGTACCATCTAGGGTTGTGTAAGTATGCTCTGTGATGTTCACACAATGATGCAATCATTGAATGATGCACTTCTTAGAATGAATCCTTCTTGTTAAGTGACACATGACTTTACTAGGAGATTTTAGGACTTAACTTCAGTAGTCAGAAGAAATATTTTTTTGAAATGATAAATATAAACTGAGATGTTTTAGTTCTAACTTCCTTGCTCTTCTTTTCACCCAGACACTCATGTTTTTGTCTATTTAAGGCGAGCTTTCTGAGCCTGATCCCGTCATGGGCCATCTACAGCAGCTTGGTCAAGAAGCTACTTCTGACTCATTACACCAACTATCTCAAGAGGAATGCCAACATCAGATAGTCTTGGGGGCCTGGGGGGCCATCCAGCATCATTTTCTTCACCAGGTTCTGCATTGAGTGCAGAGGGTCAAGGAACAGACCATCACCCATCACCCCCTGAAGCTGAAGGTCCATGCCACAGACACAGTATCTACAATACAAGTTGTGTGCCAATTAGCTCACGTTAGAATCAAGGATTAATGGAAATAGGCTTTGAAAATTCCCTGAGCATATGAATCCAGTTCATTCATACAAGCAAAACTTAGTTTAGCTTATTTTGCAAGATTAAAGATGGAACTCAGGGCAGGCTGCCCTCAAATATGTCACTTTGGCATATTTATGATTTTGAATTAAAATTACTTAAATAACAAGAGTACTCTGACCTTCCTTTGCCTTCTGTGACCATCTTTGGAAAATACAATGAGCCACACTAATTAATCTTAATATAAGTATTTATCCCAGCACATATCAATTATGGGGAGTTGGCATTTCAACTATTGGTAGAACAACTTAAAGTGTAGACATTGTACTTATAAACCTTCACATTGAACCCTGATGAATTCGCCTTTGGGGAAGAACTTCCACAACCAGCAACTTAAGTGAGAAAAGGAACATATTTTAGTGTATACAGACCAGGGCAGATTTTAGAAATAACTTTTAGTTGTGTGATATAGGGGTTTTCCTGGGTTTTGAATGATAGATTGCCTACCAGCTTTTTTGAGGGTCTTTACATTAAGAGAGAATTTCCTCAAAATAAAGGCCCCAAGATGTTGGGTTGGCTTATGAAACAAGGGTAGAAAAGCTCTGTATTTTAAGACTTTTATACCCATCACCACTAGCACTAGCTAATAACTATCATTTGTTGAGCACTAATAATGTGTCAGGGACCATGTAATCCTCATTGCCATGTAGGAAGAAGAAACTATTGTTACTGTTGTCTTCACTTTACAGATGAGGAAACCGAGGCACAGAAAAAAACTGAGTAACTTGCACAGGTTCAGCTAATCAGTGAGTGACAGAGCTGGGATTTGAACATGGGTCCTCTCCCAGCATATGTAGACTAAAGCACTACAGTATCGCCCTGCCTTTCCGGGATAAGGTTCTTTAATTGGACTTAATGGAAATGGGTGAACCCTATTTCCCCTAACCCTGTGCATTTTATGTTCACATATTGTGAAGAGAGCTGAGGAGTTGGGCTTTGCAGCCAGGCCCACGTGTCTCCACTCAACACTGACCACTTTCCCAATTTACTGTTGTCTGGGAATCATTTCAGAACAGGGAGGCTCGCCAACTTTCACTGCGCTTTTGTTTCCGCCAAGGAGTACTGGGCTCTGGCTTGATTCTCTTCTTTTTGTCTGGAGAGTGTGGGACCCCAAGGAGCAACATTGGCAGCTGGTGGTTTTGATAGAAGCATTCATTCTGTGTTCTCCCAGCCTCCCAGCTGTGCTGCCTCCCCGCCTGCTGAAGGCCAGGGGATCCCTCTGCCACACTTGGAGCGGGGAAATAGGTGATTATGGGCTGCTGCCTAGAAACAGCTGGGAGCTGTTGCTGGGGCTGTTTCCTGGCGTGTCATTCATTTCTTGTTCTTGTCATTCATTTCTTGAGGAATTGGGCTTTGCAGCCAGGCCAGAATGCCCCACTTCAAAAGGACTCCTTTAGCCATCGCTTGCCAGGAAAAGCTGAAGACAGTCATCCAAGGGTCAGCATGGTTTTAATCATTTTTGTCTGCTTCTCATGCCAAAAAATGATGGTTACTCTCACTGTAGTTTATTCACTGTGGGTAGGGCTCAGCTTGTCTTGACTTGCTAGTGCCCTCTAATGGTCTGGGCGAGAGACTGTTGAGTCTTTCTACTTAATCTTGCAGTAATTTTAGAACAGAATCCAATTTGTGGAAAGAAATCCCCCCTCCCCCGTCCCCCGCCCCGCACCTCCCCTACCAAGAAAAGAAGTAGTTCTTTTTTTAAAAATTGAGATATAACTGACATAGAACCTTATATTACTTTCAGGTGCATCACATAATTATTTGATGTAAGTGTATATTGCAAGATAATCATCACAAGTCTAGATAACATCCATCACCACACATGGTTATAATTTTTGTTCTTGTGATGAAAACTTTTAAGATCTACTCTCAGCAACTTTCAAATATACACTAAAGTATAGTCACCATGCTGTACATTATATCCCCAGGACTTATTTATTTCATATTGGATGTTTGTACCTTTTGACCACATTCACCCATTTCTCTCAGCACCCCCCACCCCCAAACTTCTGATAACAACCAATCTGTTCTGTATTGTTGTTTTTAGATTCCACATATAGGTGAGATCGTATGGTATTGTCTTTTTCTGTCTTAGCATAATGCCCTCAAGGTCTATCCCTCAATCTTTTTTTTTTTTTTGAGCTACCTTTGAATGTGTGTAGATGGTTCATCAAAAGAGAAAGACAAACAGGAGAGTTTCATAGATGGCTGACAGGGGCCAGAACACTTAGCCATTTTGGACTCTGGTTACTTCAGTAAAATGAAAAACTTTGACTACATAGTCTATAATTTTCTATTCAGATCTTTTAGACCACATGTGTCAAACACGAGGCCCGCGGGCCAAATCCGTCCCGCCAGGCCTTGCAATGTGGCCCGCACCACGCTGTCATCACAGCACTCCGCTGCGTTTCCATCACAATGACAGTTTATGACTGTTCAGTAAACCATTCGGCCCGCGATTTAGGCTGGATTTTAGATTTTGGCCCCTTCTCTGATTGAGGTCGACACCCCTATTTTAGACTATTCATTTCAAGTAAGTTTGGGAGATAAACTTTCTTTCTCAATATTTTCTCAATATTTAAGAAATATTTTTATTGGTTATAAACATACTAGAGGCCCAGTGCATGAAATTTGTGCATGGGTAGGGTCCCTAGGCCTGGCCGGTGATCAGGGCTGATCTCTGAGGTGACCGGCAGGGAATTGGGGCCCTTGCTTGCACCTGTGTTGGTCTGGTACCACCTGCTCTCCTGCTCCACCATCCTGCTGCAGTCCTGCTCTCACTGGGGCCCACTGGGGCCAGCAGCATGTCAACTGCCACCTGCTGCCAGTGCTGTGCCAAAGCCAGCCATGTTCTGTGCTGCCCTCTGGTGGTTAGCACACATCTAACGCCCTGTTAGTCAAACTCCTGTCCATGGAGACAATTTGCCTATTAGCCTTTTATTATATAGGACTAGAGGCCCAGTGCACAAAATTCATGCACAGGCTGTGTGTGTTCCTTAGCCCAGCCTGCATCCTCTCCAATATGGGACCAGGACTGCTGGCTCCCAACTGCTTGCCTTCCTGCCTTCCTGATTGCCCTTACTGTTTCTGCCTGCCAGCCTAATTACTCCCTAACCACTCCCCTGACAGCCTGATAATGCCTAACTACTCCTCCTGATTGCCCCTAATTGCCCTCCCCTGCAGGCCTGGTCCCTCTTAAGTGCCCTCCCATGCTGGCCATCTTGTGGCAGCCATCTTGTGTCCACATGGGGGCAGGATCTTTGACCTCATACATCTTGTGTGTTGGAGTGATGGCCAATTTGCATATTACTCTTTTATGATATAAGCCTGGTGCATGGGTGGGGGGCAGCTGGTTTGTCCTGAAGGGTGTCCTGGATCAGGGTAGGGTTCCTTTGGAGCATGGGGTGGCCTGGGTGAGGGGCCTGTGAAGGTTTGCAGGCCGGCCACACCCCCTGCGACCCAAGTGGAGGCCCTAGGATCTGGGATTTATTGATCTTCTATAATTGAAACTCCTGCTTGCACCATGGCCTGGCCACAGCTATTTTTGTTGTGATTTATTTATCTTTTATAATTGAAACTTTGTAGCCTTAAGTGGAGGCCTAAGCCATCCAGGGTGTGTGGAAAGCTTGGCTTCCTCCATCGCTGGGGGCAATTCGAGCCTCCTGCTCTCTCTAGCTCTGTGGCTGCAGCCATCTTGGTTGGGTTAATTTGCATACTCATTCCTGATTGGATAGTGGGCGTGGCTTGTGGGTATAGTGGAGTGATGGTTAATTTGCATGTTACTTTTTAAAACAATATATATATTTTATTGAGTTTTTTTTCAGAGAGGAAAAGAGAGGGATAGAAAGCTTGAAACATCGATGAGAGAGAAACATCGATCAGCTGCCTCTTGCACACCCCCAACTGGGATGTGCCCACAACCAAGATACATGCCCTTGACCAGAATCGAACCTGGGACCTTTCAGTCCACAGGTTGACACTCTATCCACTGAACCAAACTGGTTTCAATGAATGTTACTCTTTTATTAGATAGGATGTGCAGCAGAAAATAGAATATAGAAAAAAGAGAAGAAAACACAAATCACCATTTATCCCATTACCCAATATTAACCATTTTTCATTGATTGTAGATTTTCTTTTGTAAATTTTCTGTGTAAGTGAATGTGTATGTGTGTCTAAATGCAGATTTTACATTTTGTCTTTTCCCTTATTATTATAGCAGGAGATATCCTTGTGTTAATAAGTATTCAAAAGATTATTACAGTAGTTACTTAATACTTATTCATATGACTGAACATAATTTATTTTACCATCCCTTTTGCCTTGCATTTAGGTACTTGCAGATTTCAAAATTTTATAAATAACACTAGAAGCCCAGTGCATGAATTCATGCACCAGTTGGGGTCCCTCGGCTAGCCTGCAGGATTGGGCTCTCTGACAACACCTGAGGATTGTGAGAGAGCGCAGGTCAGGCTAAGGGACCCCAGTGGTGCATGATTGGGGCCAAGGAAAGATGTGGGAAGTTGGCCAGCCAGGGAGGGACTGTGGGAAGGCTCCAGGGTGTATCTGGTCCATCTTGCTCAGTCCCTATTGGGCCCAACCCCAGAAGGAAGCTAACCTACCAGTCAGAGCATTTGTCCCCTAGTGGTCAGTGCACATCATAGCAACAGGTTGACTGGTGGACTGTCTGCCCCTGGTGATCAGTACACATCACATTGAACATTTGAGTGGCCTTAGCATATCATTAGCATATTATGCTTTGATTGGTTGAACGGCTGACTGGTCGACCGAACACTTAGCATATTAGGCTTTTATTATATAAGATATAACAATTTACAGCCTTGCATGTGCATCATTTTGTTGTTGTATTGAGTATTTTTATAATATTTTTATTAATTCATGTAGTATACACCACTTAAACTGTACACTTTGATTATTTTTTAGTATATTCACAGAGTTGTGCAAACATTGCCACAACCAATTTTAGAATATTTCATCCCCCCACATAGAAACCTCATATCTCGCAGTTCCTCCCCCTTCTACATTCCCCCTTGCGAGTGCCAGGCAACCACTATGTACTTTATGTCTCTATGGATTTGACTATT